ACTTTCATTTACACTTTCGTTTTCCCATTCATTTTGATAGATTTTTATTCTCACTTTCATTTTCACTATTATCGATTTTTGTTTTCACTGACATTTTTATTCTCATTTTCAGCCTGATAATATTTTATTTATATTTTTTTCCTTCACTATTTTCACTTTCATTTTCACTTTCACTTTGATAAATTTTTATTCTTATTCTTACCTTCATTTACAATTTGATCGATTTTTATTTTCACTTTCGCTTTTATTTTTATTTTCAGCCTGACATATTTATATTTACAATTTTCATTTTCTATTTTCACTTTCATTTTTTACATTAATTTTCATGGATTTTTATTTTTCATCATTTTTAACTTCATAAATTGTTTTTAACTTTGAACTTTACATTAATTTTCATAGATTTTAATTTTTCATCATTTTTCAAGTTGAAAATGAAAGTGAAACTAAGAATAAAAATCGACTAAAGTGAATTTCACTTTAATCGATTTTTATTCTTACTTTCACTATCATTTTTATTTTAAAATAAAAATCGAATAAAAATCGACTAAAGTGAAAATTATTTTAGTCGATTTTTATTCTTATACTTTCAGTTTCATTTTCATTTTTAACCTCATAAATTTTTTTTAACTTTGAAATTTACATTAATTTTCATATATTTTTATTATTCATCATTTTTCATTTTTATTTTTTCAAATAAAAATCGAATAAAAATCGACTAAAGTGATTTTCACTTTAGTGAAAATTTTATTTATTGTGATAAACTTAAAATTTTATTTTATTATTATGATTTTTATTCTTATTTTCACTTTCATTTTTAACTTTGAACTTTACTATTTTTATTTTTCACTTTTCATTTTCATTTTCAGCTTGATAAATTTTATTTTCACTTTTTAGTTAAGTTTTTACTTCACTATTTTCACTTTTCACTTTCGATTTGTACTTTCACTTTTATTTGCAGCTTGATAAATTTTTATTTTCACTTTCACTTTGATAAAAAGTGAAAATAGAAATGTATTAAAGTGAAATTGAAGGAGAAAATAAAAATTTGTCGAAATGAGAGTAAAAAAGAAATAAAAATCTGTCAAAGTGAAACTGAAAGTAAAAATAAAAATTTATGAAAGTGAAAATAAAAATTTGTCAAAGTAGATGTGAAAGCGAAAATGAAAGTCAAAGTAGAAATTAAATTACATAAACGACCCCATAAAATAATTAAAAATTACAAATTGCACTGTATTAGTAAAAAAAACGAAAATAAAAATTTATAAAAGTGAAAATAAAAGTCTAAATGAATTTAAAATTTAATTTTTTTTTCTTAACACTTAAAATACAAACTAAATGGAATTAGAATAAGTTTTTTTTTCGATTGTCTTTCGGATTCTTCTTTAAAAAAATAGAAAATAATTTTAATAATAATTTTAACCTTCGCTGTATGATTAATCACAGAAGCATTGACGAATGAAAAATGAAAGAAGAATTTTTTCTCGAATTTGCGTTCATCTCACCGTGAAATAATGTGAGTCAAAGTCAATGAAAAATGATCGATTGGCGAATTTTTGTTGGCATATGAAATTTTTGGACATAAATATATAAATTATAGAAAATGGATCATCTCGTGAAATTTTCATGTCTGACTTTCTTTTTCTCTTTCTCTCTTTTTCTCCCTTTTTCCTCTTTTTCTTTTTTTTTGAACGATAGGATATTTTTCTTCCACGAGTGTATAGTGAGTTTCACCAGGGGGATTTCCATTCGAAGAACGAACAAGCTGAGTGGAAAAATATACGAAAAGATTTGACCCAGGACGTCTACCTTGAAATAATGTGCGGACCTCTCTAAGTCTGAAGGAGGGAGAAAGAGAGAGAGAAAGAGAGAGAGAGAGAGAGAAAAAGGTGGTGTCCATTTGTGAAATAAATGCGAGGATTTCGTTTCAGATTTATTTGTCAAAAAAGGAGAAAGAAAAAAATTTCGTATATTGTATAAATATTTCTGAAAAATGCTTTTTATAGTCGGGAGCGAAATATTTTTGCGAGAATACGCAAATTTTTTATTTTTATGTTTATATATTGGTGTGTATGACAAATGAGAAATTCCCGGATGACTTATAAGAATATATCCTTTGTTTGATTCCAATGTGATAAATCATACTTAGGGCAATATTTTATTGCTAAATGGTGGAGGCAGCAATTTTCCTCTCTCGGAAATTTTCTTATTTCTGAATTTTATTTTTTTCGAATTTTCCTCTAGATCAGAATTTTCTTTTATTAAAATTTTCCTCTTTTAAAATTTTCTTTTATCAAAATTCTTTTCTTTCTGAATTTTTCTCTCTTCGAATTTTTTTTTATCAAAGTTTTCTTCTTTCTCAATTTTCCTCTCTCAAAATTTTCTTCTTTCAGAATTTTCCTTCCTTCAAATTAATTATTCATTACATTTTCCAGATTTTCTTCCAATTTTCCTTTTTCGGAGTTGTTTTAGCCATAAAAATAATTTTTCCCTTTTGATAAATAATTTTCGATATTCTCGATCGATTTATTGTATTTAAAGGATCTGATTATTGGTGTATTGTCGATAGAGATAGAGGAAGAGAGAGAGAGAGAGAGAGAGAGAGAGAGAGAGAGAGGGAGAGAATGGTTTTGATAATAACCCGAGAAACTCAGCAGTGCTCGCTGCTAATGTGGAATCCCCAGGAAGTCGGAATCCGGGTCCTGTGTTTCCGGTCGATTGTTTCGAAGGACCATTTCACTATATAGACGATTTACGGACATTCGTGTGAATTTAATTATTCGAACTAAATTCGTCGAAATTTCAAACTTCATGGATCGCTGGGAAACTGATAACGAAATGTATTGTTCGCCATGAGACTTTCATGCATTCTAATATGTATCGCAGAATATGTAACATAATTTCCTTTCAATTCAATTCTCGAGACACAGATAGAGAAAAGAGGTGAAAAAAAAAATTTATTCTCTTCATTCGAAATCTATTTTCTCATTTCTTTCGCAATTCTCTTTTTTATTTTGCAAATAGGAAATGTATAAATTATTTCCATTTACTTTTGAATTAAGGGAAAATTAAATTAATGAATTGGTTAAATTTATTTTTCTTAAATTATGAATAATAATAAAATGAAATTTATTTACATTTATATTCTTTTCATTTGAAATCTATTTATTCAACGAAACATAAATAAATTATTTACATTATTTTTAATTTAAATTAAAGGAAAATTTAGTTAATTTATGTTTATTTGTCCTAAACTAATATTATTTAATGTAGTTATTTATTTACTGCAATGAAATGGGTTGTAAATGCCATTTAAAGTAAACTTAATATCAGACAAATTTGAAAATCAATTTAATTCAATACTGATAAATAATTAATTTCATTAATGAATGTCAGTTAAATAAAAATTAAATGAAAATTGAATGAAACTTTAAGAAAATTAAAATCGAGCAAAAATTAAACAGAAAATAAATTAAACTTAATAAAAATTAAAATTAAATTAAGTTAAAACTAAATAAAAAATTAAAACAACAATAAATAAAAACTAAATCAAAATTAGATTAAAAAAGAATTAAACATTAAAAAAATTGAATGATTGTCAAATAAAAAATCAAAATTGAATTAAAATTAAAAAAAATTAAAACTGAGTGAAAATTAAATCATAAATAAATTAAAACCTAGACAAATTTAAAATAAAATTAAGTTTAATCCGAGGTATAATTAAACCAAAAATAAATTAAAACTCAATCAATATTAAAACAAATTTAATTAAAAATGAATTAAACGAGAAAAATTGAGTGATAGTTAAATGAAAATTAAATGAAAATTGAATCAAAATTAAAAAAAATTAAAATTTAGTTAAAATTAAACCGAAAATAAATTATAACTCGATCAAAATTAAAACAAAATTCAATTTAAAATAAATTAAACAATAAAAATTGAATCAAAATTTAAAAAAAAATTGAGTTAAAATTAAACCGAATATAAATTGTAACTTGATCAAAATTAAAACAAAATTCAATTTAAAATAAATTAAAAATTAATTAAACGATAAAAATTGATTGATAGTTATAAATAAAAATTAAATCAAAATTGAATCAAATTTAAAAAAAATTAAAACTTAGTTAAAATTAAACCGAAAGTAAATATTATAACTTGATCAAAATTAAAACAAAATTAAAACAAAATTAAAACAAAATTAAAACAAAATTAAAACAAAATTAACTAAAAATGAATTAAACGAGAAAAATTAAGTGATAGTTAAATGAAAATTAAATGAAAATCGAATCAAAATTTTAAAAAAATGAAAATTGAGTTAAAATTAAACCGAAAATAAATTATAACTCGATCAAAATTAAGAAAAAATTCAATTTAAAATAAATTAAACAATAAAAATTGAATCAAAATAAAATAAATAAATTCAATCTGAGTCAAAATGAAACCAAAAATAAATTAAAACTCAATTAATATTAAAACAAATTTAATTACAAATGAATTAAACGAGAAAAATTGAGTGATAGTTAAATGAAAATTGAATCAAAATTTAAGAAAAATTAAAATTCAGTTAAAATTAAACCGAAAATAAATTAAAACTCAATTAATATTAAAACAAATTTAATTAAAAATGAATTTAAACGAGAAAAATTGAGTGATAGTTAAATGAAAATTAAATGAAAATCGAATCAAAATTTAAAAAAAATTAAAATTGAGTTAAAATTAAACCGAAAATAATTTATAACCCGATCAAAATTAAAAGAAAATTCAATTTAAAATAAATTAAAAATGAATTAAACGATAAAAATTGATTGATAGTTATAAATAAAAATTAAATGAAAATTGAATCAAAATTTAAAAAAAAATTAAAACTGAGTTAAAATTAAACCAAAAATAAATTAAAACGAAATTAAATTAAAAGACAAAATTAAACTAAAAATAAATATAAAGAACAAAAGAATGTCAATAAAATTTGAAAATAATAATTTTCTCTTCTTTTTCTTTTGCAGAAAAATGGATAAGTACTACCTCACAGTTGGAATGGGACTACTCTGTCTTTGCAGTGGAGTATTGCCACAATTCAGGGAGAAAAATATCAGTGAGTACAATATACATATTATCTAATATCATAATTATAAAAATTATATTTATGGGAAGTAATTTCAAATATGGATAAAATAAATACGCAGGGTAATAAATTTCGTGAATTATTGTTTGATTTCGAGAAATTTATACACCCACTGCTCTATTTTCCTTTGGTTTATGCGGGATTTCACTTTGGAAATAGTGGTATGATTTTCCAGAGGATTAAATTCTTGGGGTTTGGTGGAACTAAGGTTAATTCGAACCACGTGTTTCCCCTTCAATAAACGGCTATGGGGTAGCTTAAGCTTACACTTACGGTTCGACCAATAACCTCAAAGCAGACTTTGGATTTCAATTCCATTTGAGAAGTTCGAAAGAAAAGAAATAAAGGAAAAAAAAGAGAGAACCCTCCACCAATTATTTAAAATCACAAATTTTTGCATTTCGAAACTTTCTGTTAGAGTGAAAAAAGAAAAATTGAGGAAAAAGTATATATTGTAAGGAAAATAATAAAATTGAAAAAAATAAGAAAGTAGAAAAAATAGAAAATATTTTCTAAAGTTTCTCTATAAAGTTCTGAATTTTTAAATGAATGAATAAAAATAGAAAACTAAAAAAAATATAATAGAGGAATTAAAAATCAATAACAATTGAAATTATAAAAAATACTAGAAAAAATAGAAAATAAAATAAAAAATAAATAAATAAAATAGCAAAAATATGTAAATAAAATAATTAAAAAGTGGAATAATGAATAAATATATAGAAATAGAAAATTAATAAAAGAAATGCTAAAGAAAATTCGAAATAAATTTATCAGCAAATGAAAGAAAAAATAAAAGCGTTTTAAAAAATTATCACAAATTGCGTAAATTGAAAATTTCTCGCAAATATTGAAACTTTCTAATAACATAACTGTGTAAACTTTAATCTCTGAACCCAACACCATTTCTCGGGTGGGGAAAAGAAAAAACAGTGGGAACGTGAGAGAATTTTAAAATAATGGAAAAATCGCATTATTATAGATAGTTTCTTATTTTGCTTCAAAAGTTTCAACTTTATTAAGCTACAGCAAAATTCCACCCACGTGCTATTAAAGATGAAGTATGTGTATGCTTTACAGAACTCTGAACGTGATTCAGAACAAAGGTTTCCTCTAAAAGTGACCAGAATTGGTTATTGAATTCCGCCCCCTCTTCAATTTTCTTGATTTCAATTTTAACCCTATTCATAATTTAATCGACTTTTTTTTCACTTTTCCCTCTTAATTTTGTGAATGAGAAAAGAAAAAAAAATTTTAATTCAAATAGATTCAAAAAAATTCCCCCCTTCCCCCCTCTTAATTTTGTGAATATAAAACAAAAAAAAATGTAAAAAAAAGTACATTTCTTAAGATAAGATTTTAAATAACAATTTACTTAGCGAAGAAATTAATTCCAAGACTCTAATAATTCGAAAACATCAATAACTTTTTTTTTAAATAAATATTTAATTATTATTTTTCCATAGGAATTAAAATTCTTCAAAAGATTCAAATTCAAACCTTTTTGAAATTAAACAACTTATAAAAAATTGTTATAAAACATGAAGAAATCGATCACTCCGAAGTCTTCGACTCAGAGCAATCGATGTCTTCATGTTTTATAATAATTAAAGATGACCGAGTGATAAAATCATTAATTTATATTAAAAGACTTTATAAAGAAAAATTTTTAATTATTTTTTATGCAAATAATTGAATTATTGGGAAGAAATTTATAAAACATTAGTAAGTAATTGAATTTTGCAGAAGAATGTTGTTATTTACAAAAATAATTGAAATTTTGAAGAGAATTTTAAAAAAAAATGTTTGAAAATAATTGAATTTCTGTGAAGAATTTTTTTATTTCTGAAGATAATTGAATTTTGCAAAAAATTTTATCAGAACTTTTGAAAATAATTTAATTTATGCGAAGAATTTTATTACTTTTGAAAATAATTGAATTTCTAGGATAAATTCTATTATTTATAAAGATAATTGAAAATTTGACAAGAATTTGATTAAAATTCAATGCAAATAATTAAATTTCTGTGGAGAATTTTATTAAAAGTTATAAAAATAATTGAATTCTTGCAAATATTTTTATTAATATTTGAAAAAAAAATTTATTTCCCGTAAAAAATTCAATTGAATTTTGAAAATAATTGAATTTTTGCAAAGAATTTTATTAAAATTCCTTAAAATAATTAAACTTTCACGAAGAAAATTTTGCATTGAAAACAATTCAATTCTTATCATTAATTTAATCAAAATTTTTCAAAATAATTGAATTTCTTGAGAAGAATTTTTGTAATAATTGAAAATAATTGAATTCTTACGATAATTTTGTTGAATTTTCGAAAATAATTGGTGTAATGCGAAGAGTTCAATTATTTTTTTGAAAATAATTCAATTCCTGTGAAAAATTTTATTAATTTATAAAAAAAAAATTACTGTCAAGAATTTTAAAGTTTTTAAAAATAATTAAATTCTTGTAAAGAATTTTATTAATTTTAAAAAATAATTGAATTACTGTGAATAATTTTATTAATTTTCGCAGATAATTGAATTTCTGCGTAAAATTTTTTTTAAACGTTTTGAAAATAATTGAATTCATAAGAAGAATATTTTATTTCAAATTTGTGAAAATAATTGAATTTTTGCGATGAATTTTATTACTTTTGAAGATAATTGAATTTCTGCGAAGAATTTTATTACTTTTGAAAATAATAATTGAATTTTAGAGAAGAATTTTATTATTTATAAAAATAATTGACATATTTTAAAGAGAATTTAAAAAAAAAATGTTAAAAATACCTAATTAAAATTTTGCTATGAATTTTATTTAATTTTTCAAAATTTTATTTCTGATTGTTTGATATTAATGTATCTGTTGTCGAGAAATGTGATTTTTATTACAATTTTGACAATTTCGTGTTTCCTTTTTGTCGTTTTTTCTAAAATTTCATGCGACTTTTTTGGAAATTTTATGCGACTTTTCGTGAATTTTGTTGTAAATTTATACGACTAAAGCGACTTTTTTTTGAGTCTTAAAGACGATCCGAGCCCTGTCGTTTATATTAATTGTCAAAACCTCTAAATTTAATTATAAATAATTGTGGAATGAGGAAAATTGACGAAAATCTTGAGATTCAATATGGAGATGCTATTCTCAACCTGTGAACGCCAAGGTCACCGCTAGATGGCACTTGAGTTCCTTCTTGGAATTTCTCTCGCCACCTGGTGGCGACCTTGACGTTCTCAAGTGGAGAAATGAAACCACCATTTTATCCCTCGAAAACTTTTCTATAATTAATAAAATAAAAAATATTAATGTGAGAATAATTTAAATTGTATTATTATTGCAAATAGTAGTAAAAAAAAAAATTTCCAGAGATTAAAAGAACAAAACTGAATTTAAATACAATCCTCTGAACGAGCAGAAATTTATAATTGCTTTTTAGTTTTTCACCTAATGTTATCTTTCATTTTTTTTTCTCTCTTCCTCTTCTTCTTTTTACGATCTTAGGAAATAGAATCGTAAAATTGGTTGCGGGGTTGGAAAATGGTATGGACATGGTATGTAGGCATTTTAGCTGGAATACAAATCGAGATGCGGTTATCTTTGTATCACTATAGAATGATATTACTTTTCTACGTGCATTACGATGCGCATGACTGCGGCACTATAACATAAATCATATCTCAAAATAGATTTAAATCCCCCTGGGCTTGTGTGTTGGTCGTTGCACTATAAACGAATAAGAGAACTTTATCTAAGAGAGACTTGAATTTTATCAGTTGTGTACGACTGGACCACAAATGCACACAAGCCGAGTCGTTTAACTCGTTTTGCAAAATGTGCGTGTGACGACATTGTTCGTGTGTTGTATGCGAAGAGAGGAATGAGAAGAGTTCCATAGAATTAAAGCACCTTGTGGAGAAAGAGAGAGAGAGAGAAAAAAATCGTACCTTCGAAACGTTTTCACCACTTTTATATGATAAATTGTTTTGTTTTTTTTTAGGGATAAAAATTAATAGAATATGTTTTCGAAAATCATTTTTTACCCCTTTTTTGGTTATTTTACACCTTTTTTCTTTTTATCGAAGATATTTTGAGGTAGACAATTATTTTTACTCTGGAAAGTATACTAAAATTACTATCCAGTTTTTTAAATAAAATTAGCAATTTTAAAAATAGAACGTAAAAATTTCGAATTCAAATTTTTTTTTATAAAAATAAAATATGAATTGGATTTATAGTTTTAATATTATTATAATTATAATAATCATATATTCTGACATGGGGAATTCAGAGAAAAGTCTGGAATTTTAATTAAAAGTACTGGAAAAAATTCAATTTTTAGAATTCATAAGAAAATTCTGAATTTTTGGGTCTTTTTTGTTTGACTCTTAAACTATAAAATTACCACGAATTCTAATACAAAACCTTCAATTTTTTCAATTTATGACAAAAATTTAATTTTAAATAATTTAAATCTTGAACAACTATCATAAAATAAATAAATTTTTTAATGAATAATTTTACTTAAATGTTTCAAAATTAATTTAATTTTAAAAGAGTTGCCCTTACAATTTTCGTAAATAAATTAACTTCATCGGTTTCAATTTGAAATTTTATAAAAATTAAATTTTGAATTAATTTAATTAGAAATTTTAATGAACTTAGATGTTGGAAAAATTTTAATAATACATAATCTTCTAAAATTAGTTAAATTTGTCAATATATATTTAATTAATTATTAAAAATAATGGATTTATAGAAGAATTTTAGTTAAAAATATTTTTAAAAAATTGAATTTTAAAGAAGTTAAAAATTATTGCAGAAATTTAATTATTTTCAAAAGTAATAGAATTTTTATCACAAAATTCAATTATGTTCAAAATTGAAAAAAAATCTCGTTAAAATCCCAATTATGTTTATAAATAATATTCTTCTTTTTTAAAATTCAATTATTTTCAAAAACTTTAAT